TACTTGCGCTTGCCAGGGAAGTGCTTATTCCGCTGAGCCATCTCCCCAGCCCAAAAGAAAATATTTTTAACATGGTATTTGACATGGTTCTTGGTACATTGTATGTGCTCAATACATGGCAGTAGGTAACTTTTTATTAAATATTTAATTATAAGTTTGGATTTGGAACAAATAATTGGTCTATCATTGTGGTTTGTGTCTAGTTGTCCCCCCAAAGCATCATGTAAGTTGAGGGGCAAACATCTAGAGTTTGTGATTAACTCATGATCTAGTGGGATTATGGGTATGAGTCCTGCTGGGATTATGGTGTGAGTGTTACACTCAGCCTGGGGCAGATAACTTGAATGAAACATAAGGGAAACAGACGTGCTTTCTGTGGTCATTTTGTTGCTGCTACTCCTCCCTTTGCTCTTGCTGTTTTGCTGTTTTCTGCCACCATGAACTGCTCCCCTTTACCATGTCCCAGTCTGACTTGGAGCCAGCTGTGCATGGACTGAAACTTCCACAAGTTGTAAGCTAAATAAATCTTTTCTTCCTTCAAAAAATATTTAATTATATTCAAACATGACATTACAAAGCAGAGAAGATAGTGTAAATGAACTTTCATGTATCTATAATCCAGTTTCAACCGTTATCAACATGTGGCCAACCTTGCTTAATCTGTACACTAACCCATGTCTTTTTTTCATCGGAATTATTTTACTTTTTTTTTGAGGAACTGGGGATTGAACTCAGGCCCTTGCACTTGCCACGGATGTGCTTATTCTACTGAGCCATCTCCCTGGTCCCTGAATTATTTTAAAGCAAATCCTATATATCCATATAATTTCTTCCATAAACACGTCAGCTTTTATTGGTTTTATTAGTGCTTCTTTGTAGTACATGTATTTTTTCTATAATTTTATTGAGAAACAAATAGCAATGAGACAGTTTCAAACCAAATTGGTAGGACAGTTTCAATAATTAATACATTGCATACATTCTTCCTAGTGGTTAATTGCTGTACAAGACGCGGACTTGATATCCTATTTACAAACACTATTACAACAAATCCTTCTATTCATTAAGAGAATGTAACTATATATCTATTCTAACCATTTAAATACACAGATACACATGGACATTCATCTGTATCCCCTTTTTTTTGTTAAATTCCGTTATATGAATATTATAGGTGTGTTAACTCAGCAAAATATTCTAAAAGAGTCCAGTAGTCCATAATAGTATTGGGTCTTCCACTTCACTGGCAATGTCAGAAATTCTTGACCTGAGTCTCCTACAGCTCAACATAACAGCTTGGCTTTACTTCTTTTTTTTTTGTAGTAAAGTGTTTTTTTTAATTTTATTGATAAACAGCAATGAGACAGTTTCAAATCAAATCGGAAGTACAGTTTCAACAAATAACACACTGCATATATTCTTCTTAGTGGTTAATTGCTGTACAAGATGTGGACTTGAGATCCTATTTACAAACACCATTAGAACAAATCATTCTATTCATTAAGAGAATGTAACTATATATCTATCCTAACCACTTTCGTAGTACATGTACTTTGCAATCATCTTGAGGAATGAGTACATGTATATAATACAGTTTGTTTCCTTTTTATTTTTATTTTTTAATTTTTATTTATTTATTTATTTATTTTTTGGTGGAACTTGGGATTGAACTCAGGCCCTTGTGCTTGCCAGGCAAGTGCTTATGCCACTGAGCCATCTCCCCGGCCCTTGTTTCCTTTTTAAAAATCCCCTTCTCCTCTCTTCTTCCCTCTCTCCTCCTCCAATTCCCCTTTCTCTATTTATATTCTCACAGATGTTGCTAATTTTAACTCATGTTTGTGGCATACAATGTTTACTTTCAACCTTAGCTGTTGTTCTTAATATCTTGTACCTCTTCCCATTTGCAAGAGCTTCATCACCTTTTCTTCATCTTTGCATCCTCTACTAATCTTGTTGTTGTATTTTGCCTTACTCAAGTGAAATCATGCAGTATTTAGGCCTATGTGTCTGGCTTATTTCATCAATATTGTATTTTCCACGTGTATAATTTTTCCACAAATGTCTCAAACTTGTCCTTCTTTATAGCCAAGTAATATTCCATTTGTGGGTACCAGGAATCTAACTCAGAACCTTGCACTTGCCAGGCAGGCACTGTGCCACTGAGTTATATTTCTGCCCCCTCCCTTATATATCAATGTAATATTTTCTTTATCCAGTCATCTGTTGATAGTTATGCAGGCTTCTTCCTCCCAGGATTTAGTTGTTATGAAAATGCACTGCTAGTAACATTGTCATGCATGTGTTACTGTGGTGTGGTGGCTTAAAGTCTTTGGGAAACACAACTAGAAGGAAACACAACTGATTTCCATAATTGTTGTACTAGTTTATACTCCTACCAACAATGTAGGATTCTTTCTCTACCACAGCTTCATGAGCATTTGCCATTGTTTTATTTCTTAATGATTGCCATTCTTTCTGGAGTAAGATGGAATATTAATATTTTTAAATTTGCATTTCTCTACTGGCCAGAGATGTTGAACATTTTTTTCGTATGTGTATTGGCCATTTGTACTTCTTCCTCTGTGATGTTCTTGTCCATTTCACTTCCGTGTTTCTTGATTGGGTCTTTTATTTTTAGGTTATCTAATTTTTTAAATTTTCTTATATAATCTAGGTATTAGTCTTCTACTTCAGGAATAGCTGGAATTTTTTTCTCATTCTGTAAGTTGTCAGTTCACTCTTCTAATTGATTCCTTTTATTGTACAGAAGTTTTTCAATTTGATGTAATCCCATTTATTAATTCTTGCTGCTATTTCTTGGACAATTACAGTTCTGTTTGCAAAATCCTTTCCTCTACCTATACTTTCAAGTGTTTTATTACCCATTTTATCTTCTGGTAAGTTCAATGTTTCTGTTTTAATGTTTAGGTACTTGATCCATTTTTATTTTAATTTACTACATAGTGAAAGATCTGTGTCCAATTTCAATCTTCTGCAATTATCCAGTTTTCACAGAATCACCTGTTGAGTAGAATATCTTTCCTTTTACACATACTTTTGGTCACTTTAGTCAAAGATCAAATAGTTGAATGTGTCTGGAAAGGTTTCTGTTGATCCATATATCTGTTTTTGTTCCACTACTGAGCTGTCTTATATCACTATTGCTTTGTAGTATAGCTTGAAGTCAGGTACTATAGTATTTCCTGCTTTGCTCTTGCTGCCCAAAATTGCTTTTGCTATTCTGGGTCTTTTCTGGTTCCATATGAATTTTAGGATAGTTTTCTCTATATCTGTATAGTACACTGTTGGTATTCTGATTGGTACTGCATTAAATTTGTAGAACAGTCTGGGGAGTATGGTGATAATGAAAAGGTATTTCTTTCTATCTTTTCCATCTCCCTCATTATAAGCATTATACTATTATTTTCACCTAAAACTTAACATGAAGTCCTTGATATAATTAAATATGAACGAACATTCTTCTTCAATACCTCAATTCCAATGAATTATTTTTCTTGTTGAAATCAGGATAAAAGTGGTAGTTGTACTGTTATTATTGATATTATCATTATAAGTTCTACCAAACAAAACTCCATCTTATACTTGCAGTGATAAGAAAAATGCTGGAAACAACAGCAGTTTATTTTAATCTTTAGATTACATGATCATGAAGTTTCTATTCAATATCAACTATTTGTTTCTCTATACTGCCTGTCTATTGGTTCTTACACAGAGAAAATCTGATTTCTCTGTTCTATGATACACTATATTCATTTTCTGTAGCTTCCCTAACAAAACATTACAAAATTATGTGTTTTAAAACAACAGAAACTTATTGTCACAGTTCTGGAGGTAAGAAGTCTGAAATCAAGTTTTTGGCCAGATTATGTTGCCTCTGAAGGCTCTAGAGGAAAATCCTTCCCTATATTTTCTGGTTTGGAAGGATCCTGTTCCTTGGCTTGTGCCAGTGTATTTCAACATCTGCCTTCACCTACATTTTAGGCTGATGAAGGAGGAGGATCACAAAGAAAAAATAACAAGCTGTACAGTGAACTAAGTAACCAAAAAATGTCATAGAAACTGAGAAAGAGGGGAAAAGTAGCACTAGCATTAAATGACATATAAAGATCTAGAATATTAATGATTTCAGGAAAATTTTTAATTTTAATTTGATGCTTTTCTAAAATCCAAAGGATAGGTCCCGCTGCCCTCCACCCGCCGTCGAGATGTTGCGCTGCGGCCTGGCCTGCGAGCGCTGCCGCTGGATCCTGCCGCTGCTGCTGCTCTGCGCCATCGTGTTCGACATCATCGCGCTGACCGGCCGCGGCTGGCTGCAGTCGAACACGCACGTGCAGACGGCCTAGCTGTGGTGGAAATGCGCGGACGAGCAGGGCGGCACGGGGTCCGCCGCCGAGGGCTGCGAGAGCCTCATGGACTACGCGTGGGGGCGAGCGGCGGTGGCCATGCTGTTCTGCGGCTTCATCATCCTGATCATCTGCTTCATCCTCTCCTTCGCCCTCTGCGGACCCCAGATGCTGGTCTTCCTGAGAGTGATCGGAGGCCTCCTTGCCCTGGCAGCTGTCTTCCAGATCATCTCCCTGGTCATCTACCCTGTCAAGTACACCCAGACCTTCAACCTTCACGCCAGCCCTGCGGTCACTTACATCTATAACTGGGCCTATGGCTTCGGCTGGGCAGCCACAATTATCCTGATTGGCTGCGCCTTCTTCTGCTGCCTGCCCAACTACGAAGACGACCTGCTGGGTAATGCCAAGCCCAGGTACTTCTACACCTCTGCCTGAGGCGGAAGGAGCGTGACAGGCTCGAGCCGAGGGCCGGGAGGAGGGGACCTGCAGGCCGCTGGCATCTGTTTTAGCAGCGTTCGGAAGCCCCAGGCCTCTGGGACGCTCTTTCGGCAGTGTTCATCGGGTTAAACTGGTTGGAAACGCTAAAGTAGTCTGGGAGAAAATATTCCTTAAATTGTGTTATAGTTTCAGATTCCTCTATATTTTGTGGAATTTACAAAAAGACACTTCTTTTTTGGTAGTTGCTTACAAAATGCCAATATTTTTCCTATGTCTGTTGATAGCCTTTATACCGCATTTATAAAAGAACATGAACTTGAAAGGTAGAAAGATGAAGGCTTCCAGGACGTAGCAATCTGATGCAGTTTGTGGTTTTTTCCCCTCAGATAGAAAGGATGTTTCTATTAAGGGTTAAGGAGAAGAGGGAACTATTGGTAAAAATTGTCTGTAACCAAACATCCTAAAATTATTGTAAAACAAACTTATTCTCAAGCTTTCAGCTATATAAAGAAGCAAAGTATTTCTTAAGTGTGTATCATATTTGAGAGTTTATAATTGATTTTCTAAGAAGTTTTTGCCAGTGAACTGCGTGCTGACTTGGCATTACACAGAGGGAAGTGTTTCTCCAGGGCCCAAAGCAGATCGCAGTCGGGAGACCTCTTTACGTAGGAAAGGGCCGAGCCGAAATTTGCTCTTTTAATAAAAATAGCTTATGGGGGTGGGATGTGGGGAATGCTCTGTTGGTAACTGTGTGCTGCTTCATGTCTGCGTGGTCAGGGCCTGCATAGGGTCGGCTGAAAGATGGGCCAGATCTGAGTCTCTGACTGATGGGAAGGACGAAACCACGTAGTAAGGGTCAGGACAGTTCCTGTTGTCCCCAGAGTGCCATTAAAACAGGACAAGGGGAAGAAATGGCTTGAATCTTTCATCTCTGGTTTACCTGGGCTCTAACTATATAGACACAGCTCTGTTAGATCTTAACTGTCACAGAAACCTAAATATAATTCAAAACCTGGTCTTCCTTGGTAAAATGTCTGCTATAAAATACACAACAGAAAAATTCAGAGATATGAATTTCCCTGAACATATATTGGATGAATTGTTATTATTATTTTTTTTACCATTTATATTGCCATAACAGAAACCAACTCATTTTATATATCAAATTACTATTTTATAAGATGTGCCACAAGCAGGTAAAGTTTTCATTGTGTGTTTTTCTCAATAAACCAGGTGCTAAAATCTTGAAAAAATAAAATAAAATAAAATAAAATCCAAAGGATAGCAAGATTCCATTCTCCTTTCTTTGTTCTATTAGCCTCACTTTTGTTGTATTTGCTTCATTAAAGAAAGACATCAGGTTACTCTGACTTGTTCTTAGTGAGTATATATGTCTTTTTATAAATAGCCTAATAATTAGCCAAACATACTCAGCCATCTTATCTTTAACAAAGGAGCCAAACATGTTTACTAGAAGGAAGACAGCCACTTTATTTTATTTTTCATTTATTTATTTTTTATTTTTTCCATAATTTTATTGAGAAATAAATAGCAATGAGACAGTTTCAGATCGAATTGGTAGGAGAGTTGAATAATTAACACATAGCATACTGCTTTCCTAGTGGTTATTTGTTGCACAAGATGCAGACATGATATCTTATTTACAAACACTATTAGAACAAATCCCTCTATTCATTAAGAGAATGTAGTTGTACATCTATCCTAACCATTTTGAATAAACGGATACAAAATGAACATTCATTTATATATCCCCTTTTTTGTTTAGTTCCATCATTTGAGTATTATAGGTGTGTTAACTCAGCAAAATACTCTAAAAGAGTCCAGTAATCCATTATAGTATTGGGTCTTCCACTTGACTGGCAATGTGAGAAGTTGTTGACCTGAGTCCTCTACAGCTCAACATAACAACATGGCTTTACTTCTTATACTTCATTTTTATACTTTTCTGTTGGATGGTTAAGACCAAGATAAAGCAAGACTTATGCAACAAGAGTTGTTGCTTTTAGAGCTAAGTTTAAGCCACTTTATTAAATAGTGCTGGAAACAATTTGCTTTCCACGTACCACAGACTAAAACTAGACCCATGTGTATCACTATGCATTAAACTAAAATAGAAATGGATCAATAATCTAAGTATTAAAAGAGAAACACTAGCTCTTCCAGGAGAAAGAATAAACAGAACTCTTGAAACATAGGTGTAGACAAAGATTTCATGAACAAAACTCGAATTATACAGCAAATAATGCAATGAATTAACAACTGAGATCTCATCTTATTATAAAGCTTTTGCATAGCAAAAGAAATCACCAAAAGAGTGAAAAAACAACTGAGTCGGGAAAATATTTTAGCAAATTATTCTTCAGACAGAAGACTTCTATCTAGAACATATAAAGAACTACAAAAAGTCTGATCACTCAAATTTAAAGACCCAATCCACAATTGGGCAAATAAATGTATGAAAAAAGTTCAACGTCATTGGTTACTCGAGAGATGTAAATTAAAACAACACTGAAATTTCATCTCACGCTAGAAAGAATGGCTAGCATCAACACATCAACCAATAAATGCTGGTGGGCTGTGTGGAAAAAGGAGCCCTTGTCCATTGTTGGTGGGAGTGTAGATGAGTGCAGTCTTTGTGGAAATCAATGTAGAGATTCATCAGGAAACTAGGACTGCAACTCCCATTTGGCCCAACTATTCACTTTCTTAATATCTTCACAAAAGTATTAAAAGCATCGGGTAATCTAAACAACTAAGTTTAAGACAACACTATGAAATACAACAAATACTGTCGAATGCATATTATTTTGTTTAATGAAATTCTTTTTTTTTTTTTTTGCAGAACCAGGATTGAACTCAGGCCCCATTTTTTTTACTAATTT